CATGGATGTGGCTTATATTGATTAAGGTCGTCTGCATTATTTGCTTATAAATAGGGCTTCTTCTCCCTTCTTTATGTATTTATGATTTCTTTCTGTTCTTTCTTCCTTTGCTCCGCATGCCTTCTGCACTGCTTGTGTTATCTTGTTTTCTTTTATCTTCCTCAAAGCTGCTACTGTTCAACCTATTTTGTCAATGAGAAGAAGATGAAACTCCTTATGTAAGAGCTTCATCTTGGCGAGGATTTCATTGTAAAAGCTTTAGAGATTTGTCGAATTTCTAACTCTTGAATATAGAGCTCTGCTTTTGCTATGACCAATTCAGACTTGATATTTGATCACCATTATTCTCTGAAATTGTCATCCTCAACTTGTTTGAATTTGCCCTGAGCTCCTTTCATGTGCGTCATCTTCCTCCATGAACAGAGGGTGAGGTGGAACTCGAACCTCTTCAGATATATGTTTGTTATGAAGGGGTTTATGGAATGCGTGATCCTCTTCTCTTCCAAATTTATATCAAGTTGAAAGGGTTAGAGCAGAAAGGGATTGAAAAAGAAAAACTTCTTTGTCAAGTTGGGAAGGGAGAAGTTGGTCTGTGGGTGTTTGATACAAATAGTTCAAGTAGTTGATCTGTGAGTACTCGGGATGAGCGGCCAAGTTCCTTGGATGAGTAACCTTGGCAAGCGAGCAACTTTGTGAGTCCTTGAGCAATTTCAATAGTGCAATACGAAGGGGTGAGTAAGGCTAATTCTTTGTCAACTTGATGAAATTTGGTGCTAGGTGACTTAAAACTTCACGAACAGCAAGTTGCTAGTAGTTCAAGTTGGTTCACAATCATTGCTTCATTAATCCGATTCAGGCTCCCATAGAGACTTGATTGGTTGGAGGGGCATTTTACATACATACATACCACCCAATTCCTATGTATATCATATCAAACACCAAAACTTTACTTCTTTACATTTATACCACCCAAATCTTTTATATCACATAAAAGAAAACCCCATTATTTTAACTTTCGCGAGGTGAAGTACACCTTTTTATGCCTATATATATAAGTTAATTTACAGTTCCTTGTAAGGTGACATGTATGTAAAAAATGAAGTTTAGCTGTTAGATATGTAAGGAATTGAGTTGCATGCATGCAAACCTTCCAAACCCGTTCTTCCTCAACTTTTTTGCCCTTTATTGAACTGCTTGTCTGGGGTACTGGGAGCCAAAGTTTTTCCAAGTGTTTTTTTCTACATGTGCACCCAACTCATTGACATTTTTGATATCTTCGAGTTTTAGATGTGCTTTTTTATTTTATTTTACATTTATATATATATTTTTACGATCATGTACAGCAATTGCCAGGTTGCCAGTTATAATTTTGACCACATCTAAGTTAATTTGCAGTGTTGCGTTATATTTTAATTCTAATGTTTCTGTGAGCATTTGCATTATCAAGTTAGCTTTGAAAGCTCCCTCGAATGTCTATATCTCTTCCTTTGGATCCTTGATGCTTGGAAAGCAATTTTCATCTGAATAAATTGACTTCTTCTTAATTTGTGGTTCTTGTAATTTATAGCTTAGCCGTTTTACTACTGTAATTTATACTTGAATTCTTTTTTTTTTATTGTATTTTAAAAATCTTATTCAAACTATTGTCTCTTTAGCTTGTTCATGGTACGTTTTATTATACTGAAGCCTAGAAATTCAAAGCATTGAATCAATAATCTTTTGTTCTTGTGTGGTACAATCATGAATTTTTAAAAAGTTTCCTATAAAAACATTATATTTCTGATTGAGAAATTATTCTTAGAATTTATGGACAATGTTTGCAGTTTGCCAGAAAATTTTCATTCTCCTTTTTATTATGCAATTTTCTGATGTTTTCATTTATTCACATTAATTTTTTAGGAAGATTTACATGCATACCACTCAATTCCTATTTTTTTACTTATTCAATACCTAAGCTTCAATTTTTACAATGCCACCTTACCTTTGCATGAAAAGGTGTATTTCACTTTTAGAAGGGAAAAATTGTGGCATTTTTTATGTGATATGAAAGGAGTGGGTGGTATAAATGTGAATAGCAAAATTTAGGCGTTAGATATGTAAATACATAGGAATTGGATGGTATGTATGTAACTATGTAAGTGCCCCAATTTTTAAAGTATATCATTAAGATCTTGATAACCACAATCAGATTTAAATATCATTCCTAACAATTGTTACTGTTTCTTTGTTTCAGCAAAGGATCTATGGGAAAGTTATGCCTTATCGAGTCAATTATTTGGGGGGTGGATTCTATGCTTGGTTTTTAAACTGGAAGACGCAAAAAGGTGTGCCCAAACATATCTTTCCAATTTTGCGTTGTAAGGGGACTTTTATAGCAGGGCAATGTAAGAACCAAATTTGGTAAGTTAAATTTCTTGACATAACTGCATTTATCAGGGTCTGCATTGCATAAATTTCTTTGCATGATTTCTGACCAAACCTCTACAAAGTTTGTGATTGAATAAGTTAACTACTATCTCATATTTTGAATCATGCCTAGAAGTTCATAGAAGCTTCTATTTATAATTTACATTCTTGGATACTTGGGAAATAGCTAAAACTTAATACAGAGTGAAAAAATAATAGAAAACTTTAAATGAAGGTTATTGCGTAAAAAACATGAACATCTGTGTCAGTTATACCCAATGGATGGCTACCTCATACTTTCACCGCTGGAGATTTCGCTGTGGAGAATTATATCTTTAATCTTTATGTACAAAATATTGGTGAAGCCCTCTTCTTTATAAAAGGAAACAAGCCTACAAATTGGATGCCTTTTTTGGGGCATTTATGTACATACTACCCAATTCCTATATATTTACATATCTAACACCTAAGCTTTTCTTTTTACATTTATACCACAAAGATCTTATCACATAAAAAATACCATCATTTTAACTTTTAAAAATTAAAACACACCTTTTCATGCATGGGTAAAGTGGCATGTATGTAAAAATTGAAGTTTAGGTGTTAGATATGTAAATACATAGGAATTAAGTGGTATGTATCCAAATCCTCCTTTTTTTAGTCGGACAAAGATCAAGCTCCACAATTTAGCTTGTGCTTTATATGATGGGTAGCATGTTTCAGATGGCTAATTGAGATGAATGGGTGAATTGATGGTTCAAGGAATTGATGAATGCTACTGATACCTGAATTTAAAAAAGGAAAAAAAAGCTTTATTTTGTAAAACAGAAGCTGTGATGCCGATTTCTCTACTGTTACCTTATAACTGACAAAACGTCTTTATAATGGCTTCAACTAACAGCAGCCATACTTATTCCTGTGGTTCTAAGAAATTCCCTTTCTGAAAACCTTAAGAGCTATCTTTGTAGCAGTTTGGTTTTGTATCAGGTTGGGAAATTTGCTATTTATGAACTTATGTACTAAGATTATTGATGGGGTCCAAGCTGTAAAAATAATGCAATGTTTTCATGAGGGTAGTATCTCAAGAAAAAGAAAAAAAAAAGGTTCCAATTATATGTTTTATTTATGTATTTTAGTTGGATATGTTGTAGATAGATCTTTAACGCTTGGTATATTTCGTAGGAAAGTGCCAAAATAATTCCTGATTTTTAGCAGGGGACCATTTGATTCCCATGCTATATAAATTTGCCAATTTAGTCCTCACTTTTTTTATATGGGTTTAAACACTAACCTTTTTCTTTAAACCGAGGATTTTTTTTTGTCCGCTAAGAAAATTTGAAAATTAATTTGACACTACTAAAAACTTTGGGATTAAAATGACACTACGGACAACTTTGACGCTACTCTTTCAAATGCTTTAGATTTATGGCGGGCAAGGAAAAAAAATGTCTGAATTGATAAAGCCTAATTAAATTGAAAAAATTGATCAAGCTAATTTAGGTAGGTTTGATTTTGGGTGTAGATTTTCATAAACTAGTTAGTTTGGTATGGTTTTGGGATTTTTAGGAATAGAATAAAATCAAATTGATTTCAAATATAGTTTATGTGATGAATAATAAGGACGCGGCTTTAGACGTGTTATAATACATTTTCCTTGCTAGTTTAAATTTATTTGAATTTGAGCTGAATCGGATGTAAGTAAATTTTTTTTAAAATTGAAGCTGATCCGTATGAATCATATTTTTATATTATTGAGTGAAAGTAAATAATTGAATAAAAATCAATTCAATGGTGCAGTTTGATTTTATTTCATTTTCTGATTAATTTAGCTCAAATTTTGAATTACGTGTATCAGTTCAAATCATATAGTTATTATATTTGAACAAATACTATATTACATTATCTTTATTGTTCTTAACTATTATTACTCATTTTATAGGATTACGCGACACAATATATCTGAACAAATATCATTTAAATTGGCAATGTAATATTATCTTGAAAGATTAATAATAAACTTAATATTTTTAATCATTTATGTGAGCCGCTAGTGGTTTTAACATAAACTGATTTGATTAATATTTGGCTTACATTAAATTAAAACATAAATTATTTACAAAACTTTTATAAAATTATCAGTAAAACAAATAACTATAATTTCTATCAGTATAATCATTATGCCTGCTTCAACTCAGAGAGAGAAAAAAAAACATCACTTTTGAGCTTCCATTCCCTATTTCTGCATTTCTTGGTAGAGTCTTCTGTGCCCAAATTTTCATACTAACTCACCAAGCTCGCGTTGAGCTTTTCAATCCTATCAAACCATAAAAGGTTCCAAAATATCCACGTTAGATCTGGATTTGCGCTTTTTAAGTTCTTCCAAGCAAAAGCCCGGAAACTGGAAAAAGCTTGCGGGAAGCAGCTCAACGGTATTCAGAAAACCGCGCTTTGGGGAAAAAATTTCCAACAAATCGCCGCCGTCAGATCAGATCAACAGTTCCTCTGTGAATTTCTTGCTTTATGATCACCAACTTCGAGATTTTCCACTTGATTTCAGTGCGGTCACTGAGTATAAAATTAGCAGCTTAGCAATGGCGGAATTAAAGGCCGTTTTTCTTCTCTGTTGGATGCCCTGTACCCGAACCAGGGAAAAAGGTAATTTTTCTAATCTTTTATTGATTAATTATTCTGAAATATTCTTGTTTTATATTTGCTTTACTTATTGCATGTTATGTTGCTGACTTGCAGTTGAAGGTTATCATTCTTATTTTTATTTGAGAAATTTATACGCATATCAGATAATTCATGTGCATTCATATATCCAACACCTAAAGTTTGATATTTACATTTATAACATTTTGTTATTTGATATATGTAAATAAAAATGTGTATTTTATGTTTGATGGTAGTATTTTTTATGAGCTGGAAAAAATTTGAATGTTGTATATGTAATTATGAGAGTTTTGGTGCTACATATGTAAATATATAAAAATCCCATACATAAAAATCCCGTGTTATTTTTGTAAACATCCCCCTTTTTTGGGACATTTACAAACATACCACCCAGGTGAGTGTATTTACATATCTAACACCTAAATTTTACTTTTTATATTCTTACCACCCAAATCTTTCATATCACATCGAAAATACCATTATTTTGAATTTTAAGAAGTGAAATACACCTTTTCATACATAGGTAAGGTAACATATATTTAAAAATTATAGTTTAGGTGTTAAATATGTTAATGAATAAAAATTGTGTATGTAAACTTTTTTTTTTCTTTTCTAAATTGGGGCTTTTGGCGTTCATGCATACAATGAGGTTCGCTGCTGCTGATAGGCTTTGTTGTTTTTTTCCTTTTTTAGACCACTTTTGACACTAATTTTTCTGTTTGTTCTTTCTCAATCATCATGCAGCTATTTTTAGGTGGGCATCGGATTGAATTTTGTGGATTTAAATCATTCTATTTTGATAAATTCCATTTCAGCTTTATTATTATTGATTGAATTAAAATTTTGTAAATCTCATCAATCATAAGATTTAATAGATTTAAAGATTTCTCCTGTTAAACAAATAGCCGAACTCTTTTGAAATTTATACTTTTTTAAAATTTATAAAAATTTAACGGCTTTCAAGGCACAGTTTTCATGTTCCGATCCTCTCAATATTTACTAAATCTGGATTTACTGATTTTACTGAATTCTTGCTAAATTTAATCTTATTTGTAGCAAAAGATCCCCTCAAATTACAGATGCAACGTGGTATTCCTTCATTTTACCCAGTTTCAGTGAATGAAAGTATATTGCGATTTATACTCTCTGAAATTCCCTTGTCTGATGTTTTCAATGCATTTTCTTTCTTGGGGCATTTACATACATACCACACAATTCCTATTTATTTACATTTCTAACACCTAAACTTTGATTTTTATATTTCTACCACCCAAATCTTTTATATCATAAAAAAATGCCACTAGTTTAATTTTAAAAAAAATGAAATACAACTTTTCATGCAGGTAAGGTGGGCATATATATAAAAATTGAAGTTCAGGTGTTAGATATATAAATACATAATATAATTGAGTGCTTTTTATGTAAATCTTTCTTTCTTTATTACACTTAATACAACTGGAAAAGTGTCCACTGCCTTGTCTGAAATAGAGGAAGTATTAAATTGTGTAGCTTGAAATTAGTTATTTTTTTAATGTTTTCATGACCTTTTTTCATTTTGTAGAATATAAAACACATTTCTGGTCTATAAAGGAATTATGGCCGTTTTGGAGCAGTCTTTACCACACGGGGATGATAATGAAGCATATATGGTGAAGAAGACACGATCATTGCGAGCTCGATACGTATATGGTTTCATATTCCTTTCAACAAATTTATTAGCTTGGTTTGTCCGTGATTATGGCTGCAGAGTTCTCATGAGACTTCAACGTTAGTTGGTCTAAACTTTAAATTTCGGGGCATTTACATACATACCACCCAATTCTTATGTATTTATATATCTAACACCTAAACTTTACATTTTACAATTGTACCACCTAAATATTTCATATCACATAAAAAATACCACTATTTTAACTAAAAAAAAAGTAAAATGCACCTTTTCTTTCATAGGTAGCGCGGCACATTTGTAAAAATTGAGGTTTAGATATTAGATATTTAAGTACATAGGAATTAAGTGGTATGTATGTATATCTTCCTAAAAAAATAAGACCTATGAAGGAAAAATTGGAAATTATAGAGCTAAGGGACTAAAGAAAACATAAATTTGTCCAACTCTATTGTATGAATTTGAGATTTTTGTATAAATGAAGTTATTGATTGATAAACAAACGAACACTAAAAGAGGAAAGTTAAGATGGTATATGACAATAATATGATTTATAAATTGAGAAATAAATAGATTAGTTGTACGAGTGGGAGTAGCATATATTAAATTTAAAGCAATATAAAAACTTTGGTGACGTAGGCGTGTATGCCAAAGGGTGGAAGTTTCCTCTAATATCAGTAGATAAAACTAATGTCAAATGTGTGGGAAGAAAAGGAACTGACCTAGAATAACGTGCGCAAATTTTGTGCTACAAGATAGTAGCGCAAAATAGATTGATCTCATTTCACTGCTATTAGGATGAATGATTGGAGAGTGCCAATTCATAAAACCGACTCAAATATATGTATATATGTATGTATGAATGTATATATGTATGTATGTATGTATAT